CATTCAAGTCCATGCTTGTTAACATCAGTTAATGCACCATGAGTTACTAACAATGAACTACTGTATTTTCATTAACTAACGTTAACTAACATGAACAAATACAGTAGTAAATGTATTGTTCATTGTTTGTTCATGTTAGTAAATGCATTAATTAACATTAACTAATGAACATTATTGTAAAGTGTGACCAATGAATTATTGACTTCTGCGGTCTTCATTTGTTTAAATTAAAACAGCATCTTCCCTGCTGGAGATACTGCTGTCCTAAAAACAACAACAAAAGCGTAAATAAAAAAAACATACACGTAACTTAGGAAAGGTATTCAGAAAATTGATGGTTTTAAAAGCTTGACTTTTCCAAACCGCGGTATACCTTGAAAACGGTTATCATGCCATAGATAGTGTGTTGTCCATTGATGTGTACTGAGAGGTGTTCTCTGATCAGTCAAAATAAGCCTGAGTTTCAGCAGCACATCAATCTGCTGATCCACTGATTCTCAGGAAAGATGGGGCTGCACTGAGGAACAGATTAGACGAGGGCTGCACAATACATCGTTTGAGCATCAATATTGTGTGTGTCTGCAAGAGCAACATCGCAAGATATGCAATGTTGAGTCGTGATTAAAGTAGATCAGAATCCACAAGTCAAAACACATGAGATTTATGGAGAATCGAACCACTATAGAGTGAAAATGTAACATTTTCGTGTGTTTTTAAGGCCTGTGTGAACATTTTAATAGTTTAAAGCATATTAAAAGATATATTTTATTGAATTGTTTATATGATGAAGACTATACAATGCTCTTTTACATGTGATTATTTAATTTCTGTACCTGAATACTGTTAGATTCTCCCCAGAAAACCATAACATTTGCTCCATTGTGTTTATTTTTTTAATATATTTCTTTATGTTTACTATATGTTCACCATAACTTACATAAAATATATTTATATTTCACTACAATAGGCAATCATTCCAATCAATCTAAAGTAATGTCTTTCCAGAGCTATTTCAGGCATGTGGTGAAATTTATATTGCCAATATACATTACGGGGAAAAATACAGCCATGTCAAATTTTTCCAATATCGTGCAGCCCTAGATTAGACTCATATTTGATCAAGTTTGCATCATTTTCCTCTTTATAACTGAAGCAGCACTCATAGTGCGTTCACACCTGACACACACCTGCAGGAACAGATCACACACAGCTCTAAACCTGGGGAATTACAGCTCTCTGCACCACATTTACAGAGCTGATTCATTTCTGACCCTGACAAACACACACACACACACACACGTGCACATAGACAGACGCATGCACACACACACTCATAAGCAAAGACACAAAGAAATGCATGTGCACACACGCACATATGTGCACACACAAACAGACACACAGGCATGAACACACACCCACTCGAGTATGTGCACAAACAAACATGCACAAGCACGCACACACACAGTAGAGCGGTAGTGTTGTGGGTCAGTGTGCGCGCTGTCTCTGACCTGGCGAACTCCGCCAGCTGTTTGGGGTCGGACAGGTCGATGCCTGGGATGCCGCCGGGCGGGAGCTTCTTCCCGGTCATGTACTCGGAGTAATCAGGTGGAGAGTTTTCCCCGATGATGTGCTCCTCCACCTCATGCTCCAGCTCCTTCTTATCATCTGAAAGAAAGCATGAAGCGCTTCAGTGGATGATGAGGATCTACAGCATGGCTCCATCACTGATCACAGCACTCTGCCTGTCACAACACATCATCTTTATTCTGTAATACAAGGTCTGAGAAATTAATCTGATGTTATTCTGACCATTTACACCACTGCTTATGAGTATACAGCAGCATTAATATTGTAAATCTAATGTAAACAGATCTGGGGCCTCATGTATCAACGCTGCGTACGCACAAAAACTTTGTGTACGACAGGTTTCACGCTCACGCTTGGATTTACTAACAATGAAATGAACGTGGGAATGTGCGCTGGTCGACGCCAACTTCATGCCTGGCGTACGTGCGCTCAGTTTCACGTTCATTTGGATGTACAAAGAGAATATGCCTGGAATTCGGCGTACGCAGTGTTTCATATCATACATCTGAATTTTTTACACATTTACAGCTTTGTGCGTACGCAGTGTTTTAGTTTGATTTCAACGCAAGTCTTTGTACACGAGGCCCCAGATGTTGTCCACATTTATGCAAGCATGATGGCCGATATTTCGATAATGCCTCAGCAAAAATAGCTGACCTCATGTCCATGTATAGCTCAATTGATCCAATGATTGATTACAAGGCATTGTATAACCACAACAAACTAGCCCAGTAGCACTAGTAAACCAACTCCACATTGTTTAACCACAGTAGACTACTCCCACAGTGCTAGTTAACAGACTCTAATCTGGCTCAACAACACTAATATTAGTTAACAGACTCCACATTGTATAACTAGATCTAACTAGTCCCGAAGCGCTAGTTAAAACTGTTAAACATCTATCAGCACTGGTTAACAGACTGGTTATCCACAGACTAAACCACACCAGACTAACTGTTACTCCCACAATACTAGTTAACAGACTCACCATTAACAAACCAAGCTAGACCTGCAACATAAGGACCCAAAATTAAATACACCAGTGTCCAGACTAACTTATTACCACATTACTGGTTAACAGACTTAACAATATTTAACCACACCAGAGTCCAGACTAACTTATTACCACAGTACTAGTTAATAGACTTTACAATATTTAACCACACCAGAGTCCAGACTAACTTATTACCACAGTACTAGATAACAGACTTTACAATATTTAACCACACCAGAGTCAAGACTAACTTATTACCACAGTACTAGTTAACAGACTTTACAATATTTAACCACACCAGAGTCCAGACTAACTTATTACCACAGTACTAGTTAACAGACTTTACAATATTTAACCACACCAGAGTCCAGACTAACTTATTACCACAGTACTAGTTAACAGACTCCGCATTGAAACAATACCAGACTAGTACAGAAGCACTAGCTAACTAACTTTACATTGTATGACCACACAAAACTAGTCCAGTAGCACTGGTTTACAGACTCTATACAGTTTAATACCACCAGACTGTCTCCACAGCACTAGTAACCGACTCATAATCGTTACCATTATCAGACCAAGCTAACCTCGCAGTACAGACTCCATGTTATTTAACCTACCTTTCCAAACTAGTAGCACTAGTTAACGCTCTTTTACCGCAGCGGTTCCGCGAACTCTTCAGTATCAGCCGTTAAAATAAACGGATAACCGTCACACTTGCTCATATTTTTGAATCCAGAATGGCGCGCGCGGGCTCAGCTCAACCCGCGGGTCTGTTAAACGGTCGCTTTTCGCGGCCTGCACACACACAGCTGCAGCGCACTCGCGCCATCTTCCAGCCGCGCACCGACGCCATCTTTACGGGCGGCCATAGTGGACTCGGGGAACATGGCGGCGCCCATCACCAGCGACAAACATGGCCTCCGACCAAAACAAAAACACTCGGAACGAGTGCAGGAGTCTGCCCACTCACCCGACGCCCACATGGTGACGGAGAACTCCCCCTCCAGAGTCTTGATCTGCACCTGCTTCTGCTCCCATTTCCTCCCGCTGGACTCCGCCGCGCTCAAGTAACTCTTCTTGCCGGTTTTCTTGCCTCCCGCTGCCGCCCTCCGTCCCGCACGCCCCCCGGAGCTCCTGCCCGCGACCGTCAGCAGCGTCTGGCCGATGTACTGTGCGTCTGCGCCGGGTGTGGGCACCGGGATGAGGATCTGCTCCTCGAAGGCGTCCCCGCGCAGCTCCGCGTCCTCTCCGACCACCTCCTCGCGGGTCTGCAGCAGGATGACGCCCGGTTCCCCGTCCCCGGTGTGCAGCGGCTGCAGCGCGATCATGGCCGGCTCCTCTTCGTCCTCATCTTCATCTTCTCCGCCGATGACGGTGGTCTCGATGGTCTCCACCTCGATCTCCTGCAGCTCCACCAGCTCCGCGGGCACCGCCGCGCCTTCCGCCTCGATGTACAGCGTCTCGCCGGACGCCATCGTTAACCGTGTGCCGCTGTCACGGAGCGGTTCCGTACACGCACTATTTCCCACACACACCCCCTAACCCGCGCACACACTCCGGTGTACAAACAACTGCTCCAGCGATTCACGGCTCCATGCGCACTGCCGCCACATCTCGCGAGAACAGAGTAAAGATCCACGGCTCTATGCGGACCGCGTCCAAATCTCGCGAGAACACAGAGTGTAAACAACAGCTTTACCACTCTTCTCTTCTTTTCAACTCATTAAACTTGTTAACGTGTTAAAAGCCCTACATTCGGAACCTGTTTATATGGATTTATTACTATAAACAACTCTATAAACGCTAATAAATGTCACTAGTAACTCGTGTGTGTGTAAATGTGTTTTATATATGTAATTAATATATAAATCATCCATATTTATTAGATTATCTGTACTTTTTAATATAAAAAATAATAATTATAAGCAAAAAGTAAATTAGTTTGACTGTACAATATTACATACAGTTGATTATATTATGATGCGGGCTAAAAATAACATTATGCACATCTAAACTGAAAACAAACTTGTTTAAATGTCTTTCATATGTATATATTTAAACTATATTACATAACTGTAGTATTTAAAAAGCAGATTTACACTGTATTAATGTTAGCTACGCCTGTGTTTGACACACACTGAAGTATGAGTTATATGGTAATTCTTATTTTAGATTCGTGGCTTTCTATAATCAGACAGAGTTATTAATAGCACACACACACACTCGCCTCATAAACAGATGAAAGTCAGTGTTTCTGGCGTCTTCTTCCTCTCCTGACGTCTCTAACAGGTCAGTGGTGTTATTAATCTGAGTGTTCCTCTATTCCTCATATCCTCAGCTTCAGCGCGCACACACACACACACACACACACACACACACACACACACACACAGATAAAGACACACTCATCCAAGACAAGACATCCTTCACAGTTTATTTCAGTTCCTTTTCAATGCCATGTATATCTTTTATTCCTTTATTTATTAATTTTTATTTATTTATTTTCAAACCAGGAAGCACTTGGTCAGAAAAAAGAAAAGATTAAAACAGAACAATACGTCACCACATCCTTGCAGCCAATAAACATTTTATTAACAACATGATCACAAATACTCCGATGTTTGTTCATTAGACTGAAATAACTGAAGAACTCCTGCGCATCACCTCAGATTAAAAAACTCCTATTAAATACATATTCCATGGCAAAAAAAAAGGATTAAAAAAACTTTTTTAAAAAAGTAGTGAGAGAGGTATGAGAAATGTGCTCAGGGAAATCAAAAGGCTAATTCTGACGTGATGTGCAAATATATTATTATTATCATCATTATTATTATTATTATTATTATTAATTCCTACAGGTCTACCTACATCAACACACTGCTACTGCCACTACTACTAAAACAACAACTACTGTAATAATAATAATAATAATATGCATAATAATAACAATGACAAAATGAAAATACCTAAAATGACATGACGTTTTTTCTATTTTCTTCAGTTTCTGCAAAAGACTTTGAAAAGACTGCCACCGAAGATCAACTCGTACCAGAAAACAGTAAGGTCAGTGCAAGTGTCCTTCATTCCACGTAACACATCTAAGGTTGCTGCAACGTTGCAGACATGTTAGAGCAGCGTTTGCTTTAATACGGCTGTAACGCTGCCGGCGGCTTCAGTGGTCGGCTACAGCAGGATCTGCGGGGCTCTCAGAAAAGATGGAGGACCAGGGAATTATGGACATTATGTCGTGCTAATTCTACTGAGTTCATGTCTAATGGCTGAAAAACAAGACAAAAAAAATCATTTGAGTCATCACTGCATATACATTTAGTCACGTCGTTTAGAACCAGTAGCTGATTACAGTTCAAAAGTAATCTAAATGTAATCCAAAAGTAGTCAGATTACTTTAGCATAAGTGTCTAATCTAGCAATTCATATTACTGACTACAAATTTAATCATGTCATTTATATTAAGTTATTGACTGCTGTTAATCTAAATGTTAATCTAAATAAGTAATCTAAATGTAATCCAAAAGTAGTCCGATTACTTTATTGTAAAAGATAACAGATTATATACCTTTAGCTTCACACTCTTCAGATCTAACATTTCATGACATATCCAGAGCTGGATAATAGCTATTAATACATGTAATCTGGATTATGTAATCAGATTACAAATATCAGAATATAAATTCGTGTAAACTACTTTTTCAAATACTCATAATCAAAAAGCAATCTACATGTAATCCAAAAGTACCCAGATTACATTACCATTAATGTGTAATCTACCAGATTATTTTACTGGTGACACATCTAATCATGTAATTTATATTAAGTATCTGATTGCAGTTAAAAAGTAATCTAAATATAATCTAAAGGTAGTCCGATTACTTTACCATTAATGTGTAATCTCACGAACCATATTAATGAAACCACACTATCTTCAGATCTAATATTCCACAGCATACCCAGATCTGGATATTAGCTATTAATATATGTAATCTGGATTATTTAATCAGATTACAAAATAAAAGTAATTAGAGTAAACTACTTATATTAAATACCCATAATCAAAAGTAATCTAAATGTAGTCCAAAAGTAGTCAGATTACTTAAGCGTAAAAGTTTAATCTAACAGATTTTATTACTGTAGCTACACACTCTTCAGATCTAACGTTTCATGACATATGCAGAGCTGGACAATAGCAGATTATACTGTATGTAATCTGGATTATGTAATCAGATTACAAAAATCAGGTAATTCGTGTAAACTACTTCTTAAATTCTCATAATCAAAAAGTAATCTACATGTAATCCAAAAGTACCCAGATTACATTACCATTAATGTGTAATTTAGCAGATTATATTACTGACGACACATCTAATCATGTAATTTATATTAAGTATCTGATTGCAGTTTAAAAGTAATCTAAATGTAATCCAAAAAGTAGTCAGATTACTTTACCATTAATGTGTAATCTAAGAATCATATTACTGAAGCTACACACTCTTCAGATCTAATGTTTCATGGCATATCCAGAGCTGGATAATCGCAGATTATATGTAATCTGGATTATGTAATTAGATTACAAACTACCCAATACCCATAATCAAAAAAGTTATCTACAGTAGGTGTAATTTAAACGTACTCAGATTATCATAAATGACTGATCTAAAAGATTATCTCACTGACTACAATTTTAGTCATATAATTGATATCTGACTACAGTTCAAATGTAATCTAAATGTAATCCAAAAGTAGTCAGATTACCATAAACACGTCATCTAGAACAGATTATATTACTGAAGCTACACACTCTTCAGGTCTTATATTTCACGACATATCTAGAGCGGGATAATCGATTATTTAATCAGATTACAAAATTAAAGTAATTAGAATAAACTACTTACATTAAATACCCATAATCAAAAAATAATCTACAAGTAATCCAAAATACTCAGATTACTTTACCATAAATGTGTAATATAGCAGATTATAGTTCAAAAGTAATCCAAAAGTAGTCAGATTACTTTAGCGTAAAAGTGTAATCTAACAGATTATATTACTGAAGCTTTACACTCTTCAGATCTAACATTTCATGACATATCCAGAGCTGGATAATAGCTATTAATATTTGTAATCTGAATTATGTAACCAGATACCAAAAAATCAGGTAATTAGTGTAATCTTTTTAAATACTCATAATCAAAAAGTAATCTACATGTAATCCAACAGAATACTTTACCATTAATGTGTGATCTAACAGATGATATCACTGACTACACACTCTTCAGATCTAATATTTCATGGCATATCCAGAGCTGGATAACAGCAGATTAGATGTAATCTGGATTATTTAATTAGATTACAATATTAAAGTAATTAGAATAATCTACTTTTTTAAATACCCATAATCACAAAAGTAATCTACGAGAAATCCAAAAGATTACTTTACCATTATGTGTAATCTAACAGATTATATCACTGACTATAATTTTTAGTCATGTAGTTTGAAAAGTAATCTGAGTTTAATCCAAAAGTACTCTGATTACGTTACCATGAATGTGTAATCTAACAGATTATATTACTGCCTACACATTTCATCATGTAATCTGTATTTGCACAGTATTCAGCATGATTTTCAGGAGTAAAACAACCCAACGCACCATCAATGATCTCGTCCTTCACCTTGTGTAGTTCCCGAACCACCTCCTCCAGGATCTCCTGTTAATGACAGCATGTTTAAAGCAGCACAAACACACAGCAGACAGAGTGTGTGAACGGGAAGATCATCGTTACCTGTTTCATCCGGTCGAAGTCCAGCGCGTCTGAATCGCTGATGCTGCCCACCGGTCGAACCCTGCAGACCCATTAAACACCTCATGAACTCTCTCCCCCCTCAGGGTTCAATAAGAAACTTAAATAGGAAGATAACTCTGATGTATATGAGGAAAGGAAACTTCTGTTAACATCATATCTGTCTACACTGGGATGGTTAAATTAAGACAAGCCTCCTCCAAACAACAACAAAAATTACGCAAATTCCTAAATCTGTTATTTACAGTTGAAACTATCAATATAATATATTAAAAACAGAATTACAAAGGACAGAATAAACAGCGCACATTAGAGAAAAGCTGCAAATACATTCAACATTTTATCATGCTCAAATGAACAGCCTAGTATACAGAAGCTGAATCAGACAAATTATTATTAAGAATTATTAGAATTAGAAGCGATCAAATCTAATTTTCTAGAAGGTATAGTTTAAATATACTTTATGATTAGTTATTTACACCCTTCATATTTAAGAGCAAGGAGCGCCCCCTGCTGGTCCGGCAGTACTATGCGTATAGGGAGGATCTGCTCTTTGATGATGTTTATTCCACCCTTTATATAAAGATCAACAATCTGGGAAATCTGTATTTGTTTATTTATAGAACATATTTGAACATGTTTGTAATTCCAATCATTGTAAGACTATATACGAAAACAGCATTGTGAAATAAAGCACATGTAAAATCCAAACATGATCTTGTTTGTGGTGTAATTTGCTTATATTTCCATGAATCAGATTTCTATACGGGACTAGACATGTTATGCAAATTCAGTGGATAAAATAGGAGCCCTGAAAGAGACGTCAAAAATCCAGAAATGAGTCTTAAATGATTATTTTTATTAAAGATTTGATTATATTAATTATAACTATAGCTAATATTACATTCACTAAGAAGTACATTCAACAATAGGTGTGAATTTTACAGTGGGCGGGGCTACATTAACCTGACTTTGACAGGGTGGTGCTGATCTAAACTGACTTTGACAGTGGGTGGGGCTAATCTGACCTGACATTTGCAGAGGGCAGGGCTAAACAGACCTGAATTTGACAGTGGGCGGGGCTAAAATTAACCTGACTGTAATAGAGGCAGGGCTAATCTGACCTTGATGTTGGAAGTGGGCGTGCTAAACATACCTAAATTGGCAGTGGGCGGGGTTAAATTAACCTGACTTTGACAGAGTTTGACATTGGGCAGGGCTAATCTGACCTGACTTTGACAGTGGGCAGGGCTAAATTAACCTTACTTTGACAGAGGTGGGGCTAATCTGACCTGATGTTGGAAGTGGACAGGGCTAAACATACCTGAATTGGCAGTAGGCGGGGTTAAATTAAACTGACTTTGACTGGGTGGGAC